ACCACCCCACCCCAGAGTCTCATCGTCCTCTTTCCCTTGCTGCCACTTCCCTGATGCTATTTCCAAGCCTGGCTGGTAAAGCTGTGGATGCCTTTTAGATCTGGAAAAGCAGGTCTAAGCATTCCACTTATTTGATAACGCTGCTCTGCATGTTCTCACATGCAAATGGGTGGGGTGCGCCACATAAAGTCACTGAGTTGAAGGTGGACAGCACAAGTGAGGCAAGACCATCAAACAGAATTCCGCTGCTAGTTACATATGTAAGTATATCTATGTACACATCAAACATAAAATACATGTTCTGTATAATAACATCCGTGTAAACTTTGCAGTGTAACCAATCAGGGGGCAAAGCAATGCCTACACATCTCAAGGGCGGTTCTCTGAGCAGCAGGGGTGCCCTGCTCTGAGAAAACCTGAAACACCTAAGCCCAGTCCTACAAAACAGTTACAATAACGGGCCGATATTCACACTATAAAAAGATTCTTTACCTTATAAAAGGATGTACTACAAGGTCCCACGAAACTGCCTGGGCTCCACTGCATTTAGAATAGGATTTGATTTGTAGAAGGCTGTACAGGTATTGTCAACTACATAATCAAGGAGCCACAGTTGAACTGAACTTTTGTTGTTGTTGTATAATGTGATGAACAAAACCAGTTAATTTTATTTGTATCACTATTAATGACTTTCTTTTTCTTTTCTTTATTTCTTTTTTGTTGTTGATAATCCTCACCCGAGGATTTTTTTCCCATTGATTTCTAGAGAGTGGAAGGAAAGGAAGGAGAGAGAGAAACATCGATGTGAAAGAGATACACCAATTGGTTGCTTCCCGCAAGCACCCTGACCAGGACCGGGGATTGAACCTACAACCCAGGGATGTACCCTTGACCAGGAATCGAACCTGCAACCCCTCAGTGCATGAGCCGAACGCTCCAACCGCTGAGCCACACCGGCCAGGGCACTATTACTGATTTTCTGTGTGGGATAATAAATATGATAGCACCAAATGTTATCGTATCAGTTGAGGCAGGCAATTGATCCAGGGACAAGCAAGGCATTTCCTTCCTAACAGGGTTTTACTGTTAAATGGAGTATTTACTGTCAATTTAAAAAAAAAAAAAAAGACCAAAGTATCCACTTTATTGATCCATATAAAGTTTTAAAAGACTGAGTAATAATAATTGCAGGTGATATTATATAGTTCTTACTACATAACTATTCTAAATTTTGACAGGTATTAAACTCATTTCATCCTCAATAACTTCATGTGTAGCTACTATGATTACCCTGCGTTATAGATGAGTAAATGGGTTACACTGCCCAAGGTCAGGCGGCAGTAGCTGGAAGACCTGAGATCACATGCAGGCAGTTGGATCCAGGGGCCACGCTCTTAACCATCATACTATGCTACTCCTTGATCTGGCAGTCATGTGCAAGATGGCAAACAGAACAGGGAGAGGTGTGGAAATGGGTGCTACTTAGCCTATTGCCAAAAAAGTCCAGGCACATGGTGCTGAGGACTTGACTAGGCAGTAAAATAGGAAAAAAAGAAGGAATGATGATTAAAAGGAGGCACAAGGGCGGTTTCTGGAGAACTAGCCTGTTTCTTGATTTGGGAGCTGGTTATGAGTGGGTTCGGTATGTGAAAATTCATCAAGCTGTACTTTTTACTAGTACATACATATTTTCATTAATAAAAAGTTAAAAAATGGAAGGATAAATTTAAGAGGATTTTGATAACATTATTAATGTGTTTTGCCCTCCTCGATTTTCCGACTGATCAAGAATATCCAAGCAAGGTATCATGGAGCTCAGAGGTCATGCAATCACCCATATGGATGATTGGCAAATCTTACCTTCTAGCCCAAGACATCCAGCAGCCCAGACATCAGCTGAGCTACAGGCAACATGGCATCATGGTTATAAGAATGGCATTAAGTGTTACACTGCCTAGACTCAAATTCTGCCTTTGTACCTACTAGATGTCTGATCTTGAACATGCTACTTCACCTCTCTATAAAGCTGGTATAACACAGTGCCTAACTCCCATATGAATGCATAAATAAGTGGAACAACAAATTAATGTTTTCTCTCTCTTCCTAAATATAGATCTAAAAAAAGAAGAAGAACTCAGAGGAGCCTACAAAAGTTTTTTTAAATTAAGTTGCAGACATCATGTCATTGCATTCATAAATACTTCAGCTTTTATCACCTAAGAACAAGGACATTAACCATAATGCCGTATGTATCATACCCAAGGAATTTCACAGTTGCACAATACAATTATCTAATACACAGTCTACATTTCTATTTTTCCAAGTGCCCTACAAATGATCTTATTTTTTCAATTTAGGATCCAATCAAGGATCATAAGTACATTTAAACTGTCATGTTTCCTTTAATTTAGGATAGTCCCTACCCCTTGTCTTTTTATATCTTTCATAGTACTGACATTTTTTAAAGAGTCTAGGCAGCTGTCTTATAAAATGTCCCACAATCTGGATTTGCCTATTTGCTCAGGATTCAATTCAGATGAAACATTTTTTGAAAAGTGATACTTTTCAAGTGATACTTTATACTTCACACTGCAATACATAAGGAGGTACCTAATAATAATTTGTTCCATTATTGGTGTTGCTACATTTGATCATTTCCTTAAAGTGATAGCCACCCAAATCTTTTCATTATAAAGAAATTCTTTTTCTCTTCGTAATAAGTAATCTGTGGAGGAATCCTTTGAGTCCTTGTAAATATCCTATTCCCCAACCATCGTTTTATCCAATCTTTTTATAACATCTGTTGATAATTTGCCTGAATTGATGACCACATTAGTATTGCAAAATGGTCACTAGTGATGTTTACAGTGTTGGTGAAATGAACATTTGCAAATCAAATCCTATTTTTTCACTCACCTACATTATTATTTCATAACTATAATATAATTATTTCAGAAGTTCATCTGCTGGAACCCTCCCGACAGCGATTCACAACACCTGCTCGTCTTACGCTTCTCTGACCTCTATCCACCTGAGCAAGTACATAAAGTAGAAGCAAACATATAAGTGCACTGGCCTAGCAGTGGGAAAGGGGATACCTGTCCCCATAAGCAAGAGGTTGCCTAGTCTTCAGAGCCCTCTTTCCCATAGCAGATCGAATTCCACATCAAGAAAAGTCTATTTCTACACAGACTGTTCTATATGAAATCAGCTTAGGCATCCCAAGAAGGATGAGAGGAGACACAAAGTGTTCAGGCAGTAAACTCTTGGAACAATTTTAAAAGATTCTTCAAATCATACTAGTATAGTACCAAATCACATGCACTAGCTGTTCCAGGCAGCCTGCTTCCCCCTGACCCTGTGAATGGTACTTCTTGATCAATAGTTCTTTAGAGCCCAAACAAGCTGCATTAGAATCCCCTAGGACAGTGGTCGGCAAACCGCAGCTCGCGAGCCACATGCGGCTCTTTGGCCCCTTGACTGTGGCTCTTCCACAAAATACCGACTTCTGCGCATGGGCCACGAAGTTTCAGTCGCACTGTACGGGCGCACCCACACGTGGTATTTTGTGGAAGAACCACACTCAAGGGGCCAAGAGCCGCATGTGGCTCGCGAGCCGCAGTTTGCCGACCACGGCCCTAGGAAGTTGTTTAAGAAACAGATGCCCCAGTCCCACCTCTGACCAACTGAATCAGAGTCCTGCAGAGGACTTTGAGAATAAGTATGTTGACAAGCTCCCAGGGGATCTCATGAACAGTCAGGTTTGGGACCCTTGCTTAGAGAAGATCCACTGTGGCCTCTAAAATGGGACTATCCCATAGAGCACACAATGGTAGATGGTAGTTAGTATCAGTCCCATTATGTGACAGCTACCCTGCTAATACCTGACTCCCAGGGCTCTGGAATGAGAGTAGAGTTCAACCCAGAGGCTCTACTGCACCAATTTATAGTCCATTAGAGGTGGAGGGGCGGGGGAGGGAGAAGTCACTGTACTTAAGAGAAGTTACCAGATCTATAGTTCTCCAAATTTAGTCTCTCTGCTGTGGGGCTCAGGAATGTGTGTTTGCAACAAATTCTCTAGGTGCCTTTGATGCAGGGGGTCTGAGGACCACACTTTGAGGAGCCCTGGCCTCAATGCTGCTCTACCCTTATCTATAAGCAGTCAAAGAGTAAAAGAGTTGGATAAAGTGTCTTAGCATACATTTGAGGTTACTTACCAAATCAAAGAAGCAAAATCTGAGGTCATATGGGAAATGTTTCTGAGCAAATAACCACACATAAACATTCAGATGATATATAACCTTCCATAAAAGATGCTAGATTTCACTCCAACATTTCATCCCACTGGGGACTATAGGCAGGCTGAGACAAAAGTGGGAGGCCAAGGTTCCCACACAAAGCCGCACCTCAGATTTCATATTAGCGGTCTTCAGAGGGCAACAGGAGCACAGGGTCATCCCCTGGAGAACACCTGAATCAAACAATCTTTCTGACGATCGAGTCCTGCTTAATTCCAGCTTCCCCTTCACACTGTGAGAGCAAGCTCTTGGCAATTTTCTGTCTCTCTCTCTTCCTGTTCACCCAATCCTTAGTCAAGATTAACACGTGTGCTTACAGCCCCAGAAACTGAGATGGTTTAGGCCGCTGACAGCAGGGAGCAAGGACCATGCTAATTATGGAAAATGGGGCAGACAGAGAAGAGCGAATCCGTTCCATGCCAAGTTGGCATTTGGCTCAATGGGAATCAGAAGCATGGCTGGCAGACTGTAACAAGGACTCAGGGTGTCAGAACAGCAGCACAGACTCTCACTTGCTGCAGAGGTCATAGTGGCATATCCTTCTCCTCCATGTCCCAGGTAGCTTTCCCCCTCATGGTACAAAGGGGTGTAGTGCTCCCAGGAAAGGTCACTCTGCAGACTCAAAGCATACCTGTGAGTTCCCAAAGACAACCAAATCCACGACAGTGAAACCACCAACCAAGCAGCTCTTGGGGCTCTTACCCGATTGGAACACGTATCTGGCCAAGCCCTGCATTAGCTCTGCTGGCCATGTTGGGGGAGCAGACTCCCCTGTTTCTCTCTTCAGACGAAATGTCAACTCAAAGCCAAAACCACTAGGCCCATCTGTTCCTGTAAATCTGAAAGAAATAAAAAGCAAATGTTTTTAGTTCAACTACCTTAGGAAAAAAACAACAATACTGTTTTGAAAGTCTAATAAAAGTTCTCCCTTATTCTTGGTGGCCTCAGCATCCAAACCCCTTAGTCAGAGGAATCTCCCATGTGTGAGCCTTCAGGGCAGAAAGGACCTTAATAAGGAACCAGAAGTCTAGCCTCACCCTCCAGCCAGCTACAGCACTTGTGTATGACCTTGGCCCAGCCAATCAAATTCCCCTCCTGGCACCCTAAATTATGAGTTCCACATTTTGTGGCTCTGGAACATTCCTTTCTGTGTGATTGAGGGCCTAATCTTCCTTATTCACGCTCCATATTCCTTCAAGTTGTTAATAAGCACCTACTAAGTCTGCTAAAATACCAGTCCTGCTGTGTGCTTGTGAGGATGAGACTCTTTCTCTGCTCCCACCTCCACCTTGGCCCACAAGAGTACAAGCCTTGGCCCAGGCTGGCTGGCCTCCAAACTCAGCATTTGCAGATAGGTCCCAGGACAGATTCCAAACACTGGGAGGGCCTGCATTTTTTCCTGAAAACCCAATGTGCATTCATTAATCAGCACATAGGATTCCTGAAATCTGGCACCCCACGTGCACTCTTCAATCACTGGAACCTCAAGGAAGCAAGGTTTGCCTTCTCTTCCCATCCCAGGCGGCCCAGAATGATCAGAGTTACTGCCTCTGTAGCCACAGCCATCACTGTGATGATGAGGCAAGGAACGCCTGCCTCCCTGTCTGCTAGGAAATGCTCAGGAGCCCCAAGTCTCCAGGGAAGTCCCTGGAATGGACTTCTGCTAGAAAGGGCAATTATATGGATTAGAGAGCAAGGCCTGGTTAGGGGATGCAGGGGTGGGGGGAACACCTCCCTAGGTGAGGGGAGCATCAGGGAGAGTTCCTGAGAGCTCAGGAGGTCTGCCAGCATGGTAAGTGTTAAATGTTAAAATGTGTTCATGATATAATTTTCAGTAATTAGATCTTGTACAAACATGAGCTACAGTGATTATACACATGTAAGCTCCTCAGCATACAAATACAAACCATAAACTAAGATGACAGCCCACACCTCCTTGCCAGCCAAGCTACTGGAACAGGCTTGAAACAGAGGGGAGAATTCTGAAGGGATAGTGATAGTCAATGCCCAACCCTGGAATTTCACGTGGCATCTTTCCATCATCATCATTATCACCAACTCCAAGAGACCAGGCCCAGAGACTAGACAGAAAGATATTCAAAGTCTCAGGAGCTCTGACACCAGTCCTACCCTGCTGTGTGCCTGGGTGAACTCAGGCTTCCTGCACATGCTGTGGTGGGGAGATTACCTCTCATAGCTAAGTTCTCTAAAGGACTGGAAAGGAATCCATCCTTAAAGTCACCACGGTCATACCTAATTCTACTCAAAGGAGGTGTCCATGGCTTGCATTTGCTCTGAGCATCTAACAATGTGGGAAACAAAATCCATTTTGAGGGTACACGCCTAGAATTTTGGAGACCATGCTAGAAAATGCTTGGCAGGATGCAGTGTAAACTATTTCTTTCCTTGCTGAACTGCCCTGTTTGGGGGCAATGCCATGCAGGAAGGCTGAGGAAACAGCTAAGCAAATGGAGGCTAGAAGGGCTGCTTCCCCAGGGCTGCAGGTGTGACAGGAGTGTGAAGAGCTGGGGTAATGCAAGATGACTGGGAGCTAAAACTCTACGAAAGGAGCTGGGTTACTAGGTCAAAAGGAAGATTTCAAGCCGCCACCAATTAGAGGCAGCTTTGTAAAATGTATTAGACGATTACTCCGGGGCTTTCATCCTGGGCCAAGCAAAATACATGATTTCTAACCACAAAAACTTGAGAAACAGACTAAAAGAAACACGTTCCTCGGGATGTGCAATAGGGGGAACCCTTGGATGCAGAGAGAAAAAAATAATGCACCCAAGCAGCACCACTTTCCTGAGGAGGGTTGCGCACACACGCACACACACGCACACGCACACACATGCACACACACGCACATGTGCACCATCTGCCTCCACACAGGGTGCTTTACAGGCCAGTCCTATGGTGGGCAGGCCAGCTTTCATGGGACTGACTGGGAGGGGCAGGCCCAGCCAGATGGTCTCCACCTGTGTTTGATTACCACCCACCAGGCTGGCTGGACACAACCTCTAAACTCTGAAACATGAGTTTGGAATGGGCCTGCCTCAGGATAAACACATAACCTGGAGCCTGTCAGGTCTCTTTCGAAGCAGACTGCTCAGGCGATAGCCAAGGGACAGAGTCATTCAGTCTTTAAAGTCCCCTGCGGGGGCCTGGCTTAGTCTGGCTTCCTCAACATGAGAGATTCTCCAGCCAAAGCTGTTTTGTTTGACCAGAGGATGAAGCCCCTTTTCTAGGAGCAGCTGTCCCTCACATCCTCTGAGAAAGGAAAGATGAGAGGAAATTGGCATGTGTGGCAGAAGGTGGGATCTGGGTTAGAGCAAAAAATTTGTGCTAAAAAACTAGGTGGTGGAAAAGGAAGCCATTGGAATTTCTTACAACAGGAATTTTTTTAAAAAATACATTACAGTGCTCGTTTCGGCAGCACATATATTAAAATTGGAACGATACAGAGAAGATTAGCATGGCCCCGGCGCAAGGATGACACGCAAATTCGTGAAGCGTTCCATATTTAAAAAAAAAAAAAATACATTACAGGTTCTCCCCAGTCTGGTAGGGAGTGGGTGAGGGGTTCCAATTGTTTTGTTGCAGAAGAATGAATACGATGGCCCCTCAAAATTGTTTCCAGCTAAAGAACTTCTGATCCTGCTCACTGAGGTGCCCAGGGGACAGGCTGGTTTTGTCCTAGCAATTTGGTGAGCCTAGTCATAGCTGTGCCAGCCTTTAGAGTAACATCAAACCTGCTGACAGGAAGAACATGTGCCTTGAATTCTAGATATAGTTCCCAACCCCTGGAACCTGCCCAAAGGTCTGTCTCAAAGCATCTGACTAAGAAGGTATCACTCGGCCTGGAGGCCAAAATGACCACTAACGTCAGGCAGAAGATGAATAGAAGAGATTTTCCTGACCTTGGATTCCTCCCAGAGCCCTCAAATTAGGCCTTGGATTCTTCCTGACTGCTACGATACTTTGAGTGACAGCCATTATTACAACAGAATTCAGTAAACAATTATTTTTTTTTAAATATATTTTATTGATTTTTTACAGAGAGGAAGGGAGAGAGATAGAGAGTCAGAAACATCGATGAGAGAGAAACATCGATCAGCTGCCTCCTGCACATCCCCCACTGGGGACGTGCCCGCAACCCAGGTACATGCCCTTGACCGGAATCGAACCTGGGACCCTTCAGTCTGCAAGCCGACGCTCTATCCACTGAGCCAAACCGGTTTCGGCCAGTAAACAATTATTAAATAAACATTTGCAAAGATGATGTTTTTATTTTTAACAGTTCACAATTATTGACACTTCATTAGCTATTTTGAAATGGTGTTTGGTAACTACAAAAGTACTATATACTATGTGTAAAATATTGTGAAATTCTTTTGAAATATGTTTATATAGTAATATTCTGACACAGCTAAGATTTTTTAAGATTCCAGCTATAGTATATTAATTTTATATAATCTTAAAAAAAGAAAGAACGTGCCCTGGCCGGTATGCTCAATTGGTTGGAGTGTCATCCCCTGAAAGGTAGCTATTTGATTCCTGGTCAAGGCACATATCCAGGTTGCAGGTTCAATCCTTCGTCAGGGCACATTTGGGAGGCAGCCGATTGATGTCTCTCTTCCTCTCTCTCTCTCTTCCTTTCTCTAAAATCAATTTTTAAAAAATAGAAAACAAGGTGGTAAGGGGGGTTGAGGGTCTAGGGGAAAAGGTGAAGGGATTAAAAAGTACAAATTGGAGGCCGAAACCGGTTTGGCTCAGTGGATAGAGCGTCGGCCTGCGGACTGAAAGGTCCCAGGTTCGATTCCGGTCGGGGGCATGTGCCTGGGTTGCGGGCACATCCCCAGTGGGAGATGTGCAGGAGGCGGCTGATGGATGTTTCTCTCTCATCGATGTTTCTAGCTCTCTATCTCTCTCCCTTCCTCTCTGTAAAAAAATCAATAAAAAAAAAAAAAAAAAAAAAAAAAGTACAAATTGGAAGTTAAAAAATAGTCACAGGGTTAGGTGCAGCATAGGAAATACAGTCGATATTATTGTAGTAACTATGTATAGTGTCAAGTGGGTACTAGACCTATCAGGGGGATCACTTCATAAGTTATATAAATGTCTTACCACTATGCTATACACCTGAAGCTAATATAATATTGAATGTCAACCATAATTGAAACATTTTAAAAGAAATTTAAAAACAAGAGAGAAAGAAAGAAAGAAAGAAAGAAAGAAAGAAAGAAAGAAAGAGAGGGAGGGAGGGAGGGAGGGAGGGAGGGAGGGAGGGAGGGAGGGAGGGAGGAAGGAAGGAAGGAAGGAAGGAAGGAAGGAAGGAAGGAAGGAAGGAAGGAAGGAAGGAAGGAAGGAAGAAAGAAAGGAGAAAGGAAGAAAGAGTAAGAAAAACCCCAACAGCTAAGACTGCACCCTCACACTGAGCTGGAAGTCTGATGAGGCTACAGTGCAGGGCAGTCACATTTGAGGTTTTTCGGTGTTTTGTTTTTGTTAATCCTTACCCAAGGATTTTTTGAGAGAGTGGAAGGAAGAGGGAGAGACAGAGAGAAACACTGATGTGAGAGAGACACATCAATTGGTTGCACCTCCTGCATGCACCCCGACCAGGGCTGGGGAACCTGCAACCAAGGTACATGCCCTTGACCAGAATGGAACCCGGGACCCTTCAGTCCGCAGGCCGACGCTCTACCCACTGAGCCAAACTGGCTAGGGCACCATTGAGTTTTAACTCTTGAGTAGGAGAAGCTTTTTCCACTACATGACATCCAACCAGATTCAGGGAATGCATTTGCCTCACTCAAGTTGATGTTTCCTAAGATCCCTT